TACCTCAAGGAGGTGTCTGTTTTTTCTTTATGCAACACCATTTTGTTGTGGTGTTCTGGCGCATGAGCTCCTATGAATAGATCCGTGGGAGACAAAGAACTCATTGAGCTCMCCATGGARGTATTCTTTTGCATTGTCGGATTGGAAGATCTGTATTTCAACATGGAACTGCGTAAATATCATTCTCTGGAAGTCTTTCACAATCTTTGGAACTTTGTCTTTACTACGCATAGGAAATACCCATGTATAGCGAGAGTAACCATCGATCAATGTGATAAAGTACTTATATCCGCCCTCAGAGATTACATTAGTAGTCCCCCATACATCAGAATACACAACATGAAAAGGAACACTTGATCTTTTATTACTTGAGTGAAAAGTTGTTCTACATTGTTTGCTCAACTGACACGTTTGACACTGGAACTCTGATACTGAACATGACTTAAATAAAACCGGAAACAAAGACTTTACTCACCACAAAAAATTTTGACTCTTATTTGACTGACTATGTGACTCTGAGGATGACACCGAGAGACCAGCTTTGTTGTTGAGAATGTAGAGACCATCCACTAGGCTCCCTCTACCAATCGTCCTCCCAGAAGTTAGGTCCTAAAAAACACATGAGCCAAGAAAAAAGGTTACACTACAGTTTAAAGAACTTGTGATACTACTAATTGAAAGCAAATTTATAGGAAGTTGAGGGACATGCAATACACAATTCAGGTTAAGGCCATGGGGAAGAGATATTGAAAAAGAAGGGCATAAGTTCTTTTGGTTTAATATTTGATTTAGTGAAAGTGGTTATTTTATTGTTCTTTCAGGTTGGGTTTGCATTGTTGTAGGGCTTTTTGCGGGAATTTCTTATTCTTTTGGTGATGATGCATGGTGTCATTCATTTTGAGCATTGGTTTACTTCTCTTTATTTTTGTTTTTTATTTCTTTTTTCCTTTTGGAGTCACCAATTCAGCCTTTTTTTGATGCATGGTGTCATACTGTCATTCATTCTGATTCATGGCTTTAGCATGAGGTGGTAAATACTCTGGAATCAAATTCCATTTGCTATTTGCTGGATTTTGTAGAAAGAATGCAACAGGTGTATACTCAAGAATGAATGACACTGATTTGACTAGGATTAGATCCTAGATTCCCAGTGTCCTTTCTGTATCTGTTGTAAAGCACAACGAAGAATAAGATAACCTATTTGCATATATAAGTATAAATTATTAAAAAAGTCCATTTTTTCCCAATTCTGATATTATATACCAATAAAAAATGGTCCAGAACTTTATCTTTGTTACTTAGTAATGATTTCTAGCTATTCATTTCTGTGAAATAAGCAAATAGATTCAGGAAAAAATTATGTTGAAGTGTCCATCAAGATTCTGTGGAGTGTCAGAATCTGGCACATGCCAACACTGACACTTCATCCACTTAGGGTAGTCCATGTAACACTGCTTATTTAATCAGGATATCTACTGGAGCTCTATATATTTATTAGGAGGGATAACACAAAAGTGAAAAGTAAAAGATTTTTTTTTTCTGATTAAGCTGGGGAACAGCTTAGGTAAAAGACAGGCCACTTCCCAATGTTGGTCCCAGCCATCTGGGGTCTTGGGAGAGGTAGACTGGGTATTCTCCTAATATTTGGCTTAGGTAAAAGAACTTTCAAAAGTAGTCTTCCTTTGTCAGATGGCTTTATATGTTTTCTTACTTTGTTTTGCTTTGAATATCATATTTACCTGTATTTTTGTTTTTTTTTTTTTTGAGAAGCATATTTACGAGTATTGAATCTCCTATTCTTGTGCTTTCACTTCAAGGCACATTATAATTCCTATTCTGGTATTAGCATGGCAAATGGCAAATATTTTGATATCTTGAAGTTTAGAATGGATTATATATTAAACCTTAGTATTTGTTGTTGTCTTTTTTTCCTGTTTTCTTTTTTTTAGTAATTTCCTGAGTCTGTTTACCATCAATAGATTCTTCCTTTTGCAGATCAAACTTTCAGTTTATTTGGCCATGGGAAGAATGGGCATATGTGTTAGACCTCCCAAAATGGACTCCCCAAAGGGTGTTTGTTCAGGAAGTACTGGAAAGAGAAGTCCGTTTATCATACTGGGAGAAAATCAGGCAGGTATGTAACTGTGTAAAAATTTGTTGGCCTTTCCAAGGTATGGTGCCTTCTAATTGTTGTTTTGTAAAATTGATGAATGATACTGAGGTAAAAAGTACATTCTGAAATGTAGCCATGAACCACATGTGGTCAATAATACTACTGCCAATCTAGGGTTGACACATTTGACCCAAAGGGTTGAATTGTTGACTCATTACACTTATTTTTTCTTTTCTATGGTTAATTAGTATAGAATTCAATGAAACAATGGAAGTTAATACCCTAAATATAAGACTTAATGGAAGGGAATTGAATGAGGAGAAATGTAGTAGTTCAAATTACATTTTGTGCCCTCAAGGGACCAAATTCAAAAATGGGGGTATTCTAGTCAAGAATAGGATTCAATGAATGTTAATGGGAATTAATACCTCAAATATAAGCTTAATGAGAGCGATTTGAATGAGTAGAAAAGTGGTTGCTTAAAGTATATTTAAAAATTGGGGTATTTTAGTCAAACAAAAGTTCCACACTATCATTCACACCTTTAATAGTAGTATAGATATGAATCAATTTACTCATAACAGAAAGTGAGCACTTTGTGAAAGTCTGTATCCAGTCCACCCCTCCCAAGAACCCACATAACTGGGACCAACTTAGGGTACTAAAAGTATAGTACCAAAGGCAAATTTATTTTCTTTTTACCATTTGGGTTAGTTAATCTCACTTGGTAAAGATCACAATTTCTTGTATTCTGCAAGTTCGTGGCAGTCCTCAGCTCGTGGCTTTTGTTCATTGTACAAAGAGTAGAGCAGGGCTGCTACTCGTATCTTATTTGTTTTACTTTTTGTTAATGAATGCCCTTTGCTAGGTATTTGCATATTTTATGCACATTTGTTACTACAATAATAACATTATTTGAATTTTTATATTAATTATGATGGCATATTGCTGTATGTTCTAATGGTGATTCCCTTGATACATGGCTATATGGTGAGCAGTTTACAAATTGATCTATGAAAGATCTGACAACTCTGCTATGGAGTATTCTCCTAATTCTCAAATTAATTGGATTTGAGAAGTTTTTCCCGCCATGAACTGTAAAATTGTCTTGTTTATGAGTTTTTTGAAATTGGTGCCAACAACAGAATCCCTGGGTTTTTATACATGGGCCTTTTGTATGCTGCCCTTTTGTTATTAATGAATTACTTTACCTTACAGTTTTCAAAAAAAAAATCTTCCTGATATTTCTATTATTTACATGGGGGACAACTTTTGCCAACCTGCTAAAAACCTTTAAATTCTATGTTCTCTACCCTTCATTTCTTGGTTCTTAGTTCTGATAAACTGAAATTCTCTGGTCTTTTTATTAATTTTTATAAAATGGAATCTTTACTGGGGACTGAGATCTTCTAATTCCTTGTAGTTAATGTTATCCCTTTTTTTGTTGATTGTATTTCTAAACTACATAATCAATCAATCTTCATTTTACTACTGTTGCTTGTGGTAATGATAATTATTTCTTGTTCTTTTTATGTTCTTCATAGACCATCGAGAATGCCTCTGCATTGGAAGAGCTACTTCCTCCCAAGGGTGGATCAAACTTCAAATACAGTGAGGATGGGGGAGAAGGAACAAAAGAACATGAACTTTCAGTTGAGTTGAATAGTATGGTGAAAGGAAAATCAGTAGCCCGTCAAATTATTTCATGGGTAGAAGAGACTATAATCCCAGTTCATGGCTTCAAAGTTGCACTTGAAGTCATCATTCAAACCCTTCTTGACATTGGGTCAAAAAGTTTTACTCATCTAATCACTGTATTGGAGAGGTATGGCCAAGTCATTGCAAAGCTATGTCCTGATCAAGATAAGCAAATGATGTTAATAGATGAAGTTAGTTTTTTCTGGAAAAACAATGCCCAGATGACAGCTATTACCATTGACCGTATGATGGGTTACCGGCTTATATCTAATTTGGCCATTGTAGAATGGGTTTTCTCTCCAGCTAACATTGAGCAATTTCATTCATCAGATCGTCCATGGGAGGTGCGTTTGTACAGTCGTAAAAACTGCAGAAATCTTATTCTGATTTGGAGAACAGAAGAAAAAAATTTACATGTATAAATATGTGGTCATTTGTCTCCCTTGTTGAATGTGATGATATCTTTATGCTAATAATGATCATAGTAGCAAAAGTAAGGGGAAACTTACATTGAATCTTGAACACTAATATTTGATGCCTTATTTTCTCATATTTGTGTAGTGCATCATGCGGTAAGGAATATGATTTAGTATTCAAATTGTCTTTGTGATCATTTGTCTCCCTTGTTGAATGTGATGATATCATTATGCTAATAATGATCATAGTAGCAAATGTAAGGGGAAACTTACATTGAATCTTGAACACTAATATTTGATGCCTTATTTTCTCATATTTGTGTAGTGCATCATGTGGGAAGGAATATGATTTAGTATTCAAATTGTCTTTGTGATCCATTTGTTTACTGCATGCAAGCACCATCTAATGGCTCTCTATTTCCTAAGCAGTGGAGCTAAATATATTTGATAGTACTTTATCCTTCTTGAGTACTCAAATTCACTTTCTTTTTTCATATATTAGACACTTAAGTTATGCCTTTTTCACAAAACTAGTTCCCACTTTTTTTGCCTAGACATGAAATATTTCATATTCTTCTTTTTATTGTTTTTTCCTTTCTTTCAGCTATTAGTTAAATTCAACATCTACTTGTTTCTATTTAAATCTCTTGGTAATAAACATCAGGAGTGCACCACAATATGACCTTTAATGTTTGCTGTTTTGATTTTGTATGTATTTCAGTAAATCATCTTCATTTGAAGGAACAGTTAATGGTTTTAGTTATTTCTTAGCTAGTTGGTGCCTGTAACAGTCAGTAGGCTTACAGAATATCTAATTTGTCAAAATCTCGAATGGTTTCTTCAAATACTATATTGTCCACCTTATTTTTTATTTACCATTTCATACAGTTGGTCCACTCCTCTCTACATCCCATGTTATTTAACGAGACATTTTCTTTTCTTTATTTATGAACTCTCAAGTGCATACTTGTTTTTTTTTTCTGACAGATTCTTAGAAATGCAATCAACAAAACATATAATCGCATCTCTGATCTAAGGGAAGAGATTTCATCCCTTAAGAAGAGTGTTGTATCATCTGAGGAAGCTGCAGCAAAGGCTCAAGAGGAATTAGAGGCTGCTGAGTCGAAGCTTACAGTTGTGAATGGTGAACCTGTACTAGGTGAAAATCCTGCAAGGTTAAAGCGCTTGAAATCATTTGCTGAGAAAGCAAAAGAGCAAGAAGTATCTGTTCGGGACTCTTTAGAGGCTAAGGAAGCTCTCCTTGCTAGAGCCCTTGATGAAAATCAGGTATTATTTCAATTATCAAAAAAAAATCAGGTATTATTTCAACTTCGGTTCAGTAGTTTGTGTTTACATAACTAGGCCATTGATGATGAACATCTACTAAAACAAAGACAAGCGCTAGAATTCCCCTTGTGGATTAACCTTAGTTGAACAATGTTTCACTATTTCTGTCCATGCAAAGCACACAGACTATCCAAGAACAGACAATAGCCTCAGAATAGGCTATTGATAGTGCTAGAGTTCAACCACCTAACTGTTGGACTTTTGGGGAAATCTCCAATACCAATCGTCAGATTAATGGAAACACCATAGACACAATACATAGAGATGAGTTTACACCCCTCTGTGTCAACTTTCAAGTTGACTCCATTTTCAAGTATGGGGATCTGAGTCGTGATGATGTATATTTTGCCCAAGTGATGGACCCCAATGACTTCTTTGGTTCCTGGACAAGTAATTTTGACTCCTAGATGAGTCGATTTTAGTTGATTCCTACCTGTTGCCTATGTCACTTTTTTGAAGTGCATTATTTTAAAATGTGTAGATTAAGTGTTTAAAAGCTAAATAATAGGTCCATTTCTTATTACATTCTTCTGTAAAAATAATTGAATAAATTAATAAGAAAGGTTTCCTAAATGAAAGATTTATAGATGTCTCCACCTATTTATGAAACCTTTCTTATTAATTTATTCGAATTTTTTTACAGAAACATGCAATAAGAAATGAGCCTCTTTTTTAGCTTTTGAACACTCGGTCTACACATTTTAAAACAGTGCAATTCAAAAAAGTGGCATAGGCAACAGGTAGGAAACCTGAATGAAAGATTTATATAAATGTCCACCTATTTTTACAACACAGAGGAAATATGTAAGAACTATTATGAATAATAAAAGCATGATTTTGAAAATTATAAATTGTAACTTACTCCTAAGTCAACTGCATCGCTCCTGAATTGACTTCCTTTCTTTCCTGCTGAACCAAGTCTCAAACATTCAGTGGGCAAGGTATGTCTGTCATGGGTATGCTTTAGCTCCTTATCTCCCACGTGGATTTTTCATGGCCATAGAAATTCGGACTTTTAAAAGCACATCAGCATATTCCCTTTTATATAAGCACGTGTACTTTTTTCTTTATATAGATACATTGTGGTGACTTCACTCCTGATGTCATGAACATTCCTACTAGAGTGGTTAAAGAACTCATCCTAGGTATACAATTTGACCAAGTTGAGGCTGTATATGTTGGTATGTAGACCTTGGGATAAAGTTGGTTATGAACATAGTAGTTAAGGCGTCTGGGCGATTCTGGGTGACATTGGGGTTCCCGGTTTTATAAAATAAAGCACTAAGGATTGGCTTGTTCCTAGTTTACCATTCAGCATGCATATTAATTGAAAAAACAGCAATTCTCTTTATTAAAAACATTACATTTCCTCTCAAAACGTGACAAATCATCATATCTAAAAGATAAAAAATCTTTTAAATATATTAATTTGGTTATTTAAAAAAATACTAATATAATAAGTATTTAATAGAACAAATTTTATATCAATTAGCAACTAAAGAATACTATAACGTTGTATGGTAAAAATTCAAGATGGAAAGTAAAAAGGAAAACGAACAAGGATGGAGTTGCTGCTTTATTTAGTGAGAGAGAGAGAGATTGTCATTTTTGTTGCCTAGGCAGGCGCCCCTTGTTGGTACAAGTCAAGATGTTTACTAGTCAGCTAAATGCCTTGAATATGTGGTGTATCTAAGTAGCTTAAGAGATAACTAGTCAAATGATATTGATCTTTCCATTCCATGTGAAATCTGCCTTCATATAACAGTTTTCTTTCCTCCCTTTTTTTGGAGAGGGTGTTACATTCTATGATGTGTGCTACTAATATTAGTTGACCATCGAATGAGACTAATTTGGTTGATTACTTGGAGTGTCATATCCATCGAGAAATCTTGCTTGACACACATTTGGCTTGTCAGCTCTAGATTGAGGAAATGGGAACACTGGTTTTTAAGGTTGTATACCATTTTGTGTGGGTCCACAGCCATGCACAAAGGCCTATTTGTATTTTTCTGACTTAATTCACATTCAAGACCAGAAAATTTACCTTCAGTTGTCATGTATGTTGATTATGATAATGCTGCACAGGTGTTATTCGTCTCTCTGTATAAGAACTTTTTAAATGTGCTCATGGAACGTCTGCCTAATGCATTTGATGAAGAAATGAAGGGGGGTCTACGGCCTACTCAGACAGATGCAATGGCTGTTGACCCAGATGAAACATCCACAATGGATGTGGACAAAGAAAATGGAAATCCTAAAAGGTTGAGTCTTCTTCTGCTTGCTTAGTCCATCAAATGTTTATTTACTAAGTTTTCATGCATTAACTTTCTTCCGTCGTCTCCTTCATTCGAGCAGTCAAGCAAATGGGGAAAGAGCAGGCAGTGGCTACAATATTGGGGAGAAAGAACAATGGTGTTTATCAACCTTGGGTTATATGAGGGCCTTTTCAAGACAATATGCTACTGAGGTCAGACATCATGAACTTCATTACTCTTGCATTGATAAACATTATTTAATGAATGAACTTTCATTTTTTGGTCAGAAGTTTATGAATGTAATTGAGTTTGACTCTCTATTAGCTCGCCCCTTACTGTATGGAAAGTGAAACTCATGAGCCATAGCACTCACCGTTAAGTTTGAATATTTTTAACATAGAATCGTTGGTTATCTTTGTCTCTGCCTACAAAATAATTTAATTTTATGGTTGGCAGATATGGCCTCACATTGAGAAGCTGGACACAGAGGTATTTACGGAAGACTGTCACCCACTTATCCGAAAAGCGGTTTACTCGGGTTTGCGTCGATCAATCCATGAAGGATGATCGGGTCCATTTCTTGTAATTTTGTTGTATTCAATATTTATTTTAGTTGTATCTCAAGGATTATTTCTAGGCATTTCTTGGGAATTAGTGTTTGTAACAAAAGCAGATCAAAGTCTAGCAGCATAGCTTAACTAGTCCTGTTGCCGAAAAAGTGTCTTGTTACAATTTTGTTCTAAGTGGATAAAAAACCAAACTAACTTTCGGACCATGATCCATCCAAGGGTGGTCCACCGATTAGACAGACGTTTCAATGGTACCTATCTACCGCGAAGTCTGAAGTCAAGCGGCCCGTAAAAAGAAATATGATAAAAACTACTGGGTCTGACGTGGAACAAAATGGGATGATTTCGTGAGTTCACAAATCACAACATTTAACTATTGAAAACCCAAAATTTACGTTTTGCTAATATTGTATCAATCATCACGTAGTCTCTCTAGTTATAAATCAAAATCGGAAAGATACGCGACATGGACTCACTAATCAGGAATTCTGTATTTTTCTTACCCAACATTTCTATATGGTGGAATGATCAGGATATGCAAAAATAATCTAGGGAAGTTCATATAAATCCCATCGAGTCCATAGCTATTTATGACACTAGGGCATATCTTATGTTTCAAATGACCCTAAATACTGATAAATCTTACATTTTATTTATTTATTAAGAGACATTAATATATGGTTTTTGAACCATTGTTGACCGGGTGGTTGGACCGTTTGGCCCAGAAACTGTCCGGTCAACTGGTCCTGTTTAACCCTGAACCGTTCTTTTGCCAAAAAAAACTGGTGATTTTTCAGAATCCTGCCTATCCGAGCAGTGATGCTACTGATCGGTTTGACCCAATCAGTGATTTTCGTTATTTATTTTAATTATTTTTTAGTTTTTGTTTTTTAAATTGCAATGGGTCATTCGTTCGGACCATATGGTCAAACCACTGACCCAGAATCAGTGGCCAAAAGTGGTTCCGGTTATGGGTTGGTTTTTAAAACATTGAATGTCTGACATACAAAATCAATAGTTAGAAAGAACCTTGGGTCAAGAAAAATAAATCTGGCTTCAGAAAAAATAAGGAAAAAAGATCTTAAAAATATATGAACTACAATAAGGTACAAGTACATAGAAACATATTTAATGGCTTATGTAAGTGTGAGCTCTGAAATACTAAACATAAATTGTAGTATTTATTTATCATTTTTTTTCTTTTGCGTAGTTAAAAGAGAAAGATGTTGGTAGTTGGATTCATGCAAAATAAATGAATTGAGATGTAATGTTGAGGTTTATATCCTTTCACGTAAGAAGCTTGGGTACAAATATTGTTAGATGCCATATATAATTTTCACATTCCTGAATTGGTGAAATAAAACAAGTAATTTGAATATAAAAATCTATAAGATTGGATAGTGATTTGAAATGGTTTGACTATGATGTCAGAAAGACATGATATCGAAAAATCTTATAAGTTGCAACCAATCAACTGGTATTACAAAAATAGGAACCAATCAGGAGGGCTTTCACCAATTTGCGGGGGCTTGTGATTGGTCAAAGCCTTTCCCGTATGATGTCCCACATCATAGATTTTCCCTTTGAATGCCTTGGGTGGACGAAGGTTTAGAGTGGTTGTGATTAGGGGTGCAAATGGACTGGATCATGATTTGATCCAATCTGAAGTCCAATCCTATTTTGTTGGATTCGAATATCCCCTTGGATGTGTGTTATTTATTTATTTATTTATAAATATATTATTTGTATTGCATTTTTGTATTATTTATCTTTTATAAAACACACACACACACACACATACATATATATATATATATATATATATATATGAAAATAGTTAAAAAATATTTGTCTTCTTTATTTTTCTTTATTTAAATTGTCATATTTTCCTTTTTTAATAATTTATTAATATTTTTAAATATTAAATTGGATTGGATCAGATTCAGATATGTTACCAAATTCGAAATTGAGTCAATATTTATGAGATCTAATCAGATCTGATTGAATCTACAATTTATCAAACGAATCTGATCCGATCCGTTTGCATCCCTAGTTGTGATAAGCGTTACATTTATCTCTCATCCTCCCAGCAAATATCCCAGAACCAACACCGAAGCCCAATGCTTAATTGCCAAAGCATCATTTATTAGAAACTGATATTCCAATTGTCCTTGAATCAACCTATAGGTATACATCCTATAAACTTGGAACAACCACAGTTAGGGTTTGTGCTTGATATTTGATAATAGTGTTTTCGAATTGTTGTTGACTTGGACGGTCAGACCGTTCGACTCAGGAACCATCCAAGCAACTACTTCCTTGGCCAAAAATCAAATTGTTTCCATTTGATTCAGATAATGGTTTCGACTTTTTATTTTAATTATTTATTTTATTATTTTATATTTTAAATTGAAACATACTGTCCATTCGAACCAGACAGTCGAACCATTGACTCATAAACCGGTGGCCAAAGCGGTTCCAATTCCAAATTGCTTTTTAAAACATTATTTGATAATCAAACTAAAATTCCTGCAGTGGTACCTTGCTCTACGCCTCCACCTCCACCTTTGATCATCTTGTGATGTTCAAAGGGACTTGTAAATTAGATAGGGCTTCTTGGAGGGCCTTGTCAAGCATGCCTCCGGGAAATAGATCACATGCCCCAATCATGAGATATTGAGCTTTTGAGTTAGCTTTCAACCATCTTTATACAATGACTCGATGTCATATAGTTCAAGTACTCTCCAATTTTTTTGTCATGGAGACGCATGCCCCTACTTTGTTGTAAGTTCTCTCTATCCCCCTGCTACTTCTCTTTTTCTTTTCTTCTTTCCGGGTTGTATACTGCCGTATTTATTATTTTAATTGTTTTGATTAATTTTTATATTGTCCCTTTTTTTGTTTGATCGAGACTTTTGAATTCTCTCAATAACTAATTTGATGGTTAAAGTATTGGAAGTGAGCTGATGATTAGGGGGCTGTTTAGTTTTATTGCCGTTTATTTAATAATACAACATTTATCCTGACAAAATGGGAAAAAAACAGTTGAAGAAGTTTTTTTTTTATTTTTTTTGATGTTTTTTTGACAGTTTGACACCATATAACTTGAATAATGAAAAAACACTTTGGTGTTAGGGAAAAACATTAAGGTGATGTTTGGCTTTGATGATGATTTCTTGAAAATCACTGCAGTGTCAGGGTCATGTCGGCGTTAGAGGAATCAGGTTGAAATTTATGTTTGGTTGAACGATTTTGGTGACTTTCAGGAAACGGCCAAATTTTGATTCTTTTTAGTGATTTCCTGATTTCTAAATGATTTGAATTTTTCGAATATGACATGACATCTAACATGACACTGAATAATAATTCTAATACAAAAATAATCGGCCTTTGAGAATATGTACCAAATAGACTCAAAGCCTATTTCTCAAAAATGAGCTTACACGGCAGAAAAGATGCCGAATAGCAAAATTTATTGAATTTTGAAATGTTGGTAAAGAAGAATCATCATCCATGCCATACATCACCTAAAAAGAAGTTTCTCCTGACATATGACTCTCACACAAATGGAGATAAATGTTTATTTGATAGATGATTTAACCAAACAGTATTTCAACTCTACTGGCGCATATGTGGCATTGAGCTGATAATCAGGGGCCGGTCTACCCCTAAACAATTCACTGACATGAAACAACCTCTGTATGGACATATTGAGAAGACCCCGAAATGATACGTATTGGCCGATACAGTCCGATACACATCGAAATTTCGAACCTTGATCAGCCTATGGGATCCAATTTGTTTTTTATAACGTGCCAACTGCTATGCGTGATACTTAACGAGTTCCTGAAGTCGCCATTTCATCTTTGTGCACTTCAAACTCCACGGGATATGATTCGTGGGTTTAATCCTTAAATCTGATTGTAAACCCCCCTCTCTCTATTTAATGCTCTTTGAAAGTCTGCATAATTAATGGAAAGCATGCTGCATGCAGTCCTCATCCTCGATTGATCTCTCACAGATATCTAAATGGTTCCTTCTCTCTCATGTTTGAATCTGATCCAACTAAAACGCTAAATGTTCCTGAATTGACGTCAATCGCCTAATCACGTATTAATACTCATGTTAGTTGTTGTAAGTACTTAGATAGACTTATATCATGTTGTCAAGGACAGATCGATGAAGCAATGGTGACGTTTTGATTTCTTGATAAATATGAGGAAGATCAGAGGATCTGTAGCTATTCCTAATTAAATTAGCAAGAAGAGCTAGCACAAAGTTGAATCTCCAAAACCTACTGACTTACCAAAATTGTGGAAAGTGGCCGGAAACCATACCAGTTCTCCCGAGTTTGATATCTTGAAAGCTAACGACCAAAACTGGGGAACTGGCATGTAAAATGAACTTCCGTAACTCCGCCGGTTGTTTAACCTTCTTCTCAAAATTTCAGAATTTAATATCTGTTTTAAGCAAACCAATAACTTACCTCAGATCCAATCTAGCAAAAGCGTTTGCCGGACTTGCTTCAACTGTTATTTCCGTACTCTCGTAGCTGTGAAGACAGTAAACCACAAGCTTTACAAGATCGATCGGCCGAAAGTCCTTGCTTCACCAAAAAGGAGATTGATAGAAGCCTTGAGAGCTCGGATCTCGTCAATTGCAAAAGCTGAAATCTCGAAGCCTAATTAACAACATTAAACGATATTTTAATATGCATGCAATACGAATATAAGCGTTAACAGGAAGAAAAGAGCTAGGTTTAACTTTTCCATGAGTCAGATAGATCAGCTCAGATTCCACACATATTATTCAAATCTGTTCTCTACTTTCGAAAAGGACAATGTTTTCAGGATTGCAAATCAATCGTAGGATTCTGCTATCCGGCGCATGAAAGACGCTCGTCGCCATTAATGAGTTCATCTCTTTCTTCTGGCTTTGACAGGAAGTAAAACGAGAGAGAGAGAGAGGCCTTATGAATGGTCGCATCCCGCAGTTTGCAGAGCGAGAGGTAAACCGGAGAAGCAAATGTAGATCTACCGCCGAGCCGATTTTTCGGGTAATGCAAGATGGGAAAAGACACGACACCTGAAAAAACAACGGGGATGGAAGTGGTAATATTACTTTAGGTCTAATACCATTTTGGTCCCCAAACTTTAAAATGTGACAATTTAGTATCCATACTTTTGAAGCGTGATAATCCAATACC